GATCTTATGTTTACATTTTAGTTACTTTTTAAAAAAATATATATAACATGTAAAAAATACATTTGCAAAAGTGAATAATCTCTCTATAAATTCAAAATGTCCGTTTTAAGCTAGATATAGAGGTAAATATACTGATATATAGATATATTGGTTATAAAAGTCAGCCATTAGCAAATAATCTTGAAAGTCAGTGAGAGAGGGGAGATGCTTTTATTGTGGGTTTGACAAAGGTATTGAAAACTATGCATATTAAGCTGGTTGGAGGTTAAAATGTTAGATTCTTGTTTGTAATTATGTATAGTTTGTGCTTTTGTAATTGGTTTGAAACTGCACCAACATCTTTTAGAAGTTAGAAAATTCTCAAATGAAGAAATTTGAGTTCAGATACATCATGTGATGCAGAAAAATGAAGTTTGAGATTTGTTTAAATATTTCTTTTTGAAATTAAGAAAATGAAAATTTGATATGTAAGTTATGATTTACTCCATATTTATTGACATACGTTGGTAACAAAGTTTAGCTAAATTTTGATTATAACTTTGTAAAAGGTCATGACATGCACGCTTGTCCAGAAAAATTAATTGATTTAATAATATTTTACATGAGATCAGTGTCAGAGGTGATCAAGTAAGTTAATTGGCCAGCTGTAATGGGTTCATCAGTTGGATTTCCTTGTTGTTAACAAGATGTTTGTCCATAATCCCAAAATATATTGAAAAAGGTTTATCCTGTTCAGAAAAATTAACGATAGCTTTAAATCCACACACACTGTGCTAAGGCATCAGTGCAAAATTATCTTCAAGTTTAATATTATGTGAAAATTATTTTAAACTGTTAACTAGTAAGGTATGATGAAAGTAACTAAAAATGTAAATGTAACAGGCTATCATTTAAAAAATCCGTTGAAACAGTTTTATGCTAAAGGTGAAGTTTTGATTAGTAAATTGTTTCCATATTAGTAAGGTATACAAAATTGTCTACATGTATAATGTGAAGATGTACTTTTACATAGAAAATTTGATTCAGAGTATGAAAGGGTAATTTTGAAAGGATAACAAAGGGTCATCTGGATCATCTAAGTTATTCTATTTTTCACTACCAGTCTACTGCTAACTACATTTAAAAAACTGTTTTCAATATCCAACGTTTATCTCTACAACACTCATCAAGTCTCCTTTTAAACTTCTAGAAACTTGAAGGCCAACTATCCCATAGGCTGATCCCCAACATTTTTAGGAAAGTAATAAGACTTTAACTGGAATTATATCTGAGTTTTCTATATGTTAAACTTGTGTCTTTTATTCTCACTGTCTGCAGAGGTTTTTTTTATGGAAAAATCAACTGGCTTTATGGGACATCATCTGGGTTTACAGATTCCAGTCTTCTAATAACCTTAAAAACCTCAATAATATCCCCTTAAACCTTTCCCAACTCCAGTTAAAAAATGTCAGGTGATTTTAACCAACCCCTATATGATAATTCCTCCAATCCTGAAGCCATCCTGATAGTTCTTCACCGAACCCTCTTCCACACCTCAATATTATTTCTTAAAGAAGGTAAATAAAACTGAACACAATATTCCATCATGTTATAAAGTGAACTGATAACTTCTTTCAACTTGTAGCCAATGCATGTATATATACATGTACATTTTGAAGACAAATTTGATTTATTAGTAGCTAACATGCATTGTCTAGAAGGCTTCATAGATGTTCTTAATAGCTATGCCAGATGTTTTATCCTCATTCATTTCCCCAAGTGTTCACCCAGCAAGGCTGCAAGTGTAACTCAAGTAAAGTTGTGATAATCAATATGCATAAATTTACTTTTTATTAAAAAACATTTATCAGGTATCAGCCCAGCTTACCAAATATTTTGAATTTTGCTACAGAACTTAAGTAATCTTTATGTAAACATCTTGTATGTACTGAAAAGAAAACCTTGTGTCACAGTGAGGAAAACTCACATTCTTAGCTATGTAGTAAAAGATAAAGTTATTGTGCAGGCCAAGTTAATAGCTTCAAAACATTACATTCATTACTGTCAATTCTCTTGCATATTTTAGCTATATTAAGAATGTTTAAGTACTACAGAAGGACTTGAATCAAATGATAAGTTGGACAAGTATTTGATAAATGACCTATAATTATACAACTAAGTTGAGAGTAATGGTTATCATAATTTGAATAATGTGTTTAATACAGATAGGAACCTACTGAATAGCACCACTGAAGAAAAGGATCTGATATATAAAGTCACTGAAGCTCATAATGACAATACTCTGTTGCTAATAGTATTAGGTTGTTTCTGTGGACATACTGATTACAAGCCAAAAAGTGTATCATATAAGTCTATTATTAAGCTTCACTTGGAATACTGTGTATAGTTTCGGTCTTCTTACTTAAGAAAAGCTATTTATGTATTGGAATTGATTTAGAGGATGGCTATTAGAATGTTTCTTAGGATGGAGAGCTTATAGAGATAACTTGAGGAAAGAAGGGTAAAGAGTGACCTTATTTGTGTTTACAATATTATCCAGAGGATCATTTGTATAAAGACCTCTTAATACCTTTTTGCTGTGTTCTGAAGACAATAGGATGAGAGCATACAAACTTAGGATTGGGAAAATAAAGTCTACAATCAATTAAGATAGTTTTATTTTTCTAATAGTATGATTGGTGTATGGAATTAACTGATGTTAGCACTTTACAAGTGTTTATGAGGGGAATCAATGACTTAATTTTTTTACTTTTATCAGGGAAGTAGTGTGCAAAGATAGCCATGAAAGACTAAACGGTTCATTGTTGTATGTATTCTACTTTGTATTTGGTTGTGACATTCTAGCTGATGTAGTTGAATTGTGACTTGACTTGGAATTTCTTTTCTTGATTTTTGCTATATAAATGTATTATTTGTGATTACTGGTTATCTGTGACCAGTAGGTCAGACTCTTAGCCAGGAAACAGCTATGAAGGATGATATTATTCTGTTAATTTTCAATATATTTTGTCAATTCTCCCATCACTTTGAGATCAACAATGTTACAGATCCATTGCTGTTTTTAGTTGCAACCTCTTCTTCTGCATCCATAACAATGCCACCCAGATGTCAATTTTTGGCTTTAGCAGGACCCCCC